AACAAAAAAAAAAAAAAAAAAAAAAGAAAGCATGACCATCCAAAAAAATGCAAATATATAAATAATTACTACCACTTCAATGCAAATGAATAACTAATATGTCTATTTGATCCTTATCCACATTCCCCGACTCGGCGCACCATGAACCACCACAAACAGCAAGTAATACCCCGGTGGAGCCACCGCCGGCGTCGGCGGCGCATGACCCTCAACCACGTACTCATTACTCTCTTTCTCCCTACTCATCACTTCCCCAACGTCCAAAACCAACAGCCTCTGGTTCATCGCAAACGAATGCGTAGTAAACGACGGAGCCACCATCGTCACATAAACCCCACCGCCATTAAAACTTTCCTTAGAGCTCGACCGAAACCGGACCGAGATCCTCTGCTTATACGCCATCTCCTTCCCTGGCTCCACATTCGTGATCAACGGCCGAGATTTAGTATTCAAATATGGTGGATAAAAGGTTTCGAGACTCAGCTCGGTGGGGTAAACCGTAGAGAAGTTGTAGTTCCTGTTCGGGTTGCTTCCCCCGACTAAAACCCGACCGTCGGGGAGCAAATGTGCCGTCGAATGATACAGACGGGGGATGATACTCGGGCTTAGTATCTCGAACCGGGTTTTGGCGTCTCTCCCGGTCCGGTAAAGAACCGGGTACAAAACCGGTTCTCTTGCAACATCCCAACCGGCGGTTCCTTTCCTCGCGCCGTTTATTATCAGAACGTCGCCGGTCGGGAGCAGAATCATGTCCCCCATCACTCTCTCGACCGGCATTTCCTCCATTTCCCATTCCGGCTTCTCCTCGGTGATCGAAATTCGACCGCAACTTCTCGTTGCCACGACGTATTCCCCGGCCGAAGCCTTCACGTTCGCGTCCGACGCCGTCCCGCCGCAGACCAAAACGACGGCGTCTCGCGTGACGGTGTCGTTTCGAGAGAGGAAAATAGGAAGCAAAGCCGATGAGCCCGTGCTCGGATAGTTCCTCGAAACGGCGCCGTTCCCATCCGGCATGGTCGGGAACTGCCGGACTACAATGCCGCTCGCGTAGTCGAGGAGGATCGCCCTGTCGTTGGCGAAAATGAAGAGATTCCCGTCCGGAGAAAGGTGAAGAAAAGGGTACAAATTGTTGGGGACTTTCGCTGAGTATCTAGTTTGTTCAAGAAACGGAAGTTTGTAAAGCTGCGGATTTTGTTTTGAAGATTTTGGAATGAACTCGTAAGAGAACTCCAATCTTCCTCCGACGACGATGATTCTCCCGTCGGGCAAAACCTGGTTCGAAGAGTACCAACGCGGGGCGATAAGCCCGTTGGGATTCTCAACCCAGTCGCAGCCTGCGCAGGGCTGGAAGTACCGAACGACTAGCTCCCCGGCCTCAAAGCCACCGGTCTGGACCAGGACGCCGCTGGAGGACAAGGCGCCGGAGGAGCACCACGTGTCGGTGAGGATGGTGAGGGGGCGGACGGCGCGGTTTGAGAGGTCGAACTCGACCGAGTGGGCGAAGCAATTGTCAGAGATTGTGGAATCAATGTGGCACTTTGCTTGTGGCAGAGTTAAGTTTGAAGGGCCGAAGCTTGTCCGATCAAATACGATGATCTTGTCGTTCGGCAACAATGCCATGTGCATTGCCGAGATTCCGATGTTTCTTTTCAGCAACCGCCATCTTCCCCGATACGCCGGCGTTTGAGAAGTACTACTAGTGATCAAGCATGTTGTGATTGCTATTAGTAGAAAGAATGAGGTTTTGGCAGCCATGTTTGAGAAGCTTAGAGTATTACATTACACATGCTTGTGATGAAGAAAATAATAGATGCGGCCAGTTTAATATGGCTCTGAGTTAACGTAAGTTTGTAGTATTAATTGCATTAAACTCTATAGCGGTAGGTTTTGACTTTGAGTAATAATTATATTTGGTGATCACAACCATATGTAATGTGAAAAATAGTTGATCATGGGATTTGTTTTTAGTGATGGTGGCAATTAAGTTATATCAGTTAGCCTGATTGGAGCGTTAAAGGTGGGGATTAATTTTGTTGCTCACCAATAATGAAAGTTAGACAATTTAGATGTTTATTTACTTCAATCAAGCTAAATAAGTGAGCTTTTATGAGTTGATTATTCTAGGTTTCCTGTGAAGCTAGCTGATGGTGTTATTAGCTGTAATTGTGTGGCCAGTGATCAGCATGTGCGTAGTAAATAGACTTGAAAGAGTGTAAATGCATGAGAGCCCAATTATCTGCTTTTCCGGTCATTTATGGCCTTCATGGTGGAAAGGTTTGTGCTTATTGGCCAGCTCTGTATTGCAGTCATTTGATGAGACGTAGGCGTTAACAAGTGGAAATGACCCAAATGGGTACACTGCTATATAGTGTGGATTAAAAAATTTTAAAAATAAAAAATAAAAAGATCTCAAAGTTCAGAATCCACTAGCAATAATAATCCATAATTTAATTATGCTTGCACTTTTCCTTCTATATATTATTTAGTGAACGTTAATTCATAGATTCAGAATTATGATTTAAAATCATTCTCGATTTATGTGTATTTTTTATGAGAGAACTATAACGAACTACAAATAATGATTTAAATTATGACACGAATACACTAACTAAACGCACCCTTAACGTGCATGGGTGAACATGATGTGTAGGGCTGTTCATAAACCCGCACAACCCGCAAACCCAACCCACCCCGCCCCAACCCAAGCTGAAAAAAGCAACCCGCAGCATTATTTTTAAATTTTCGGCCCATTATACCTCTGGCCCGAAGTGTTTGGAGCGGATTGTGGGTTGGCCCAATAACAACCCGCAATCCCCAACCCAACCCGCAGCATATACCTCTATGTTTGCTTTGCTTAAACTATTTGTTTTATGTTAAGACTAATTTATGTTTGCTTTGTATTTGATGTTGGATGGACTACTTTGCTTCATGTTTGATGTTAGATGGACTGATAAAGATTGTTGCTATTTCTATTTAATGATGAAGTTTGAATATTATATTGAACTTTTAAGTCTTTGATTTTTTGAATGTTGAAACCGACCACCCAACGCACCCCGCACCGCCCCAACTCAACCTGAACATCGTTGGGTTGTGAAATTTTTCTAACATCGTTGGGGCCAAATATGTGCAACCCGCACCCTTTAGGGCGGAAGAAAAAAAATCTTACCCCGCACCAACCCAACCCATAAACAGCCCTAATGATGTGCAAGAAGTGTCGGTGGGAACTGGCACGGACAGCCTATATGAACAGTGCATATATAGTCGGTGAACCTTGTGGAGAAATGAATTCATTGTGGCAGAGGCAAAGGCAAATAGTCAGCAATGAAAGCCCCACCCAAATGTGCCAACGTTAAGGGTTAGATGGGGGGTAATCTGAAGCACTCTGAATTAAGTATTAGGTTGTTAAAAAATAGAATTCACATTTAATACTTCTAAAGGGATAGCCCAACACTCAAACGACCAATGACCACAGACCCACAACGATACTCCATTATCACTAAACGACCACACTCGATGTTGTGTAATGCCACGTTAAGAAAATTGCACGTTAGGTTCACCATCTCTAATAACAAAAATTGTTATTTATCCTTATAAGTAAATAACTTCACTGTTATAAATAGTGAGTCCCTCCTGATCAGATATATGTAAGACCCATTAATAGAACCACTATGTATAAGTGTGGGATTATATCTTGGATGAATAAGGGTGCTCTCCAATAATGTGTCGTGTACAGTCCTTTTTGTCAATTTTCTTTTCCCGGCACAGGGCAATGGCAAAGACTGAATGCTTTCTTGCTTAGCGTCTAACACTGTGAAACAAACTACAGTTGGTTGGGGCCGGGTCAGTAAAGGCTGACTGTGTGTATGCGGGGCTGCAAATGTCGGCGCAATGGAGTAAAGAGATCAACAACATCAGTGGTAAATTAAGTTCAACAACTTGAATAATTATTTTTCTTTTTTATCCTAAGCATTTACAAAAAGAACATTTGTGATAAAGCCAGATATATTGGAAATACCTCTTTCTCTAACAATCAATCAACAAAGTAAACACTAAATGTATAGTATTTTGATCTCATGTAAGGTTTAAAAGAAGATGTATAGCATTGAAACACGCTACTTGACGTTCACTTGAATATGTGGTTCTTGAGTGCACGTGTGAGTACAATGATATATAGATGGGTCCTGTTCAATTAATGTCTGAAGTAAATTATGTGAGTACAATGATATAGCCACTTTTTTCCTAATTATTTGATCATTGTTTTTTTCGTTTTGTGGGGCTAGTCTGGTGGGTGTAATTTAGGTAGGAATAATTAATTTGTACTCGGAATTCACTTTGATAAGTGACCTCTTCCTCTATGCACCTTAGTTACTATTTAAAGAAGGGTATAAAATCATTAATATTCCTTCATATTTTTATGACCACAAATTTTGTGAAAATATCAGCGTTTGTGTTAATTAGGGGTGTAAGAAATCCGACCCTAGCCGAATATTCAGTTTTTTTTTTTCCTTTTCCTGGTTTCAAATAAGGCCATCCCAAAATTTACGGGTAGGGGCGCGGGCCGGTCTCTTTTCAACTCACGGTAGGCCGACTTGACCGAAAGCAAATTCCTCCGCCGTTCCTCTTCTTCTCTCTGAGTGTTTCCTCCATCGCCGCTCCTTCTTCTTCTCAATTCCTCTACTCTGCTGTTCCTCTTCTTCTTCTTCTTCTTCTTCTTCACCGTAGCCTGAAATTTTCAGCTACAATTGTTCAGCCCAGGCCACACAGCCCAGGCCCGCCCCAATCGTTCAGGCCCAAACCATGGCTTCTGATGGTATGACAATAAATACCAACCAGGTCTGCTTAATCGTTCAGGCCCAAACCATGGCTTCTGATGGTATGATAGTAAGATACCAACCACCTATAACTACAAATTTGGAGTTGGTTTACCCCGAAGTAATCCGGCCGACCCAAGGTTACCTGAGGTAACCTAATGGTGTACGGGTTCTGGGAGCAAGTGATCTGTTGCGGCCCATAGTTTTCTCAGCCCGATTCTTGCGGGCCGGCTCAAATTTTACCAAAAAACCGACCCTACCCGATCGAATTTCACCCCTAGTGTTAATGCTTAATTTCTAAAAAGCGGTGATGAACACGGTGCAATATGCATTATGGCATGCTTATCAATAGTGAAATAGTTATATCCTAAAGAGCAATGCTCTTGTAACGTCTAACATCCAAGACCATTCACAGTTTATACAATCCGTAAAGGCTGTTATTTTTCTTTAAGCGATGCATATGCTAGAAGATTTTTTCAAAACAATTTTATGTACCAACAGGCTCTAAATAGTTTAGTTAATTTCCATAGACAAGAGTCAGTCATACCTCAAGGCTCAAACCATTCAATTAAAAAGTGAATTTAAAATAAAAACTCTAAATAATGCTACTATACCCTTGTGCCCAAATCCTATAAAACCTTAAAAATAAAATTACAACAAACTTGCAGTTAGCAATTAACGGTGGATATTGTCGTCGTTGATTGTTACTACTAGTTTTAACCAATGCAGATTCAGATGACAACAAGTAACACCCTAGCAAGAGTCTAGACATATGATTTTTTATTGGGAGAAAGAGAGAAATAGGTTAAGACTTGAGATGAATTAAAATTAATAGACCAATAGTTTACATAAGTTAATAAATATGCTAAATTACTGTTTTTTTTTCATAACTTGTCTGGTTATGAACCATAACTTGACAAGTTATTGTCCATAATTCACGGTTTTTATCCATAACTTGTCTGGTTATGAACCATAACTTGACAAGTTTATCCATAACTTATCTGGTTATGAACGATAACTTGATAAATTATGACCTATTAATTTTTATAACTAAAAATTGACCTATATATTTTCTTAAGCCTATTTTCTACTATTTCCCCTTTTTTTTTTTAATTGAATTACGATTTACAGTAGACCAAAACGACACCTTTAAGGCCATAATGGATTGTATGTCGAAGGAAATCTCGATATGGCCCAAGCTTGCAGCCCACATAATTTGGGCATGAAATTTTTTGGGCTTTTAAGAGAAATGCCCCAGATTGTTGTCCTGTATTGGTTTATGCGTTAGAAAAAGTTCTTGTAAGGAATATTGCGTTTGGACTTCGTTCAAAAATAATTTTATTTTTTGTATGAAAATGAAAATAAAAATATTTTTATTTTTATTTTAAAATTATTTTTGAAAATGCGTTTTATAGTTTTATTCCGAGATTGTTTTCAGTTAAAAAAAAAACTGAAATTGTGTTCCGTGATTTAATTTTTAAAAGCATGTAATAATATTTAAAATAATAATATATTAAATAAATAATATTATTAAATATATTAAATAAACATTATATACATGAAGAAATGGGTTTCGGAGGAATAATTTTGGTGTGTCTCGGAGGAATCTCTGGAATTTTCCGATTTGGAGCCGAAGAGGCTGCGATCGTCGTCGTCGTCGTCCAAGGTTCCGACTCTTGTGAGGTGGAGGAAGGGGAGGCGGCGGAGTCGGATGAGGAGGGGGGTGGTTAGGGGCAGCGAGGTCGAGGAGGGGAAAAATGAAAATGGGAAATCGGAGGAAAGGGGGGGTCGAGGGAGATCGGAGAAGAGGGGGGGTCGAGGGAGATTG